TATCGATTGGTTTCTTATACAATCGTATTTCTTTCTTCTTGCCGGAGGCCCTCACTCTGACGTCTCGTGCGGCGAGCTCCTCCCACGCCCGAATTTTGGAGCCTTTCTGACCGTTCTTCTGCTCATGCGTGTTGGACAAGCTTGCACATGCACGAGTGGGCCCGACATCTGTTGGCAACATTTTTTGGGGTCAACAAATTGGTTCTTAGTCTTTTGCACAAAATTAATTTCTTTGGTGCTTGATCGTGAATCAAAATTTTTCGATGCACAATTGTAATTCTGGTGGTGAAATTGTTTAACATTTAGTGTAGAAATGTAGATTCCAAGGACCTGGTGTTCATGAGTTTCAACTGCTATTTTGTTCTCAAGCTAATTCTGCCCCTTTCTCTCTTTTTGGCAAAATCATGTTATTTTTCCATCAAAGGTATTTCAATCAAATTGTCTTAACCTCCTTGTGTGCTAGGTTTCTCTTTGATCAGTCTCTCTCCTTCATCTTTGAGTGGATTACAATCCATGTTTCGAAGTGCTACTGTTAAACTTGGTTTCTAGTTATTAAAAAATTTGAGGTTCTTGTTAAGTTATACTTCTGGGTACATTCTTAGTTTCGATGATGGTTTAGTTAGATTGGTGGATGTTGATTTTTCTTTCATACTAGCTTCGAGTTCTTTGTTTGGCTTGGTTGGCATTCAAGTAATTAAGTATCCTTTGACCCTTGGAAGATGGTGATTTAATTGGATCAATTAAATTTTCAAACTCAATTTGTTTGCCACTACACCGAGTTTGAGGGGGATGTTAAATATATGAAAAGATTATAAAAATTATTTTTCACAATATTTTTCAATTGTATGAGATTATTTTCTTTAATAGTTGGTTGTGATATTATTACACAATCTTTCCTTTTAGAGTTACTTGTGTTGAATATTGGGACTCCAATCAACCAAGAACCGGGCTCAGTCAATCAAGAATCGAACACTACAATCAACCAATCGAATCAACAAGCCAAACACCTTTTCATGAGCCCAAAAAACCGGTTGCTTCAATTGAAAAACAGCCCACTAAGGACTTGAAGATGGAGAGGGATTGAAGCTATGTATATTAACCACAAAGGCTAAGAAACATGGAGAAAAATATACCACCAATTTAGAGACACAAAGTCAAGAGCACAAAGCCAAAAACGGGATCTCTCTTCCTCAAGAAAAACACGGCTGCCTCAATCACTTTCCACACCAATAATAATAATGGTCAACCAAATAAATAGGTTAGGGATAGGTTTAGGTTTTTAGGTCAAACTGATAGGTCCAATAGGAAATGGATAAGTGGGCTAATACCTTAAAGCCGTCCAAGTCATTCGGGTTGGGCTATGAGCAGCACTAATATAATCAGGCTGCTTCAAATGGCCCAAGTGAATTACGTGATTCGATTGGTTCGATTGTAGTATCAACATTTCACTTCACTCACCGGCCGAGGCTTATGAAGTATAATCCAATTAAAACCGATTTAACATCATAGCCCGGATTATTGGGTATCAAAAAATCCAACAACTTGTAGTACTATAAATAGAGTCTTCTGGCTTTATAATAGGTAAACAAGTTTATTAAATACAATTTATAATATTCTACATAATTGTTGTCTTAAATTCTCTATCTGGCTTGCTTTATTAGTGGATACTGACAGAGTGAACCTTCTATAACCTTTCTTTTGCTTGGTAGAACTCATCTTGTTTTTTATAAAAATTAAAATTTTATTTCTCAAAAAATGAAAAGGAGATTTTAATGTATATTTTCGAGTTGGAACTCTTGGAATAATTTATTTGCTCTTACAAAACTTAATTGTTATATTTTATAGTTCTATGTTGTCTTGGTTCTAAGATTGTTCCTCACATCTATGCCGAGATGATGATTCCCTTTTCTCTCTCTTTAGGTATATCTTCTTCCTTTTTATGCATTAAAATAGACACAGTCTTAATTCTTCTTTACATGGCAGAGACTGAGTGGACCTACAGGAATGACAATGGACTGGCAAGGAGCACCAGCAAGTCCGAGTTCATACACTGTGAAACGGATTGTTCGCCTAGAAATTCCTGTAGAGAATTATCCAAATGTAAGATTGTTTGTAGAGAATTCAGTTCATTTTCATTTCTTAATCTAGAGTGCTTCTCATTCCATTATTATCTAAATTACGACTGTGGATTCTTAGTTCAATTTTGTTGGGCGGCTTTTGGGTCCTAGAGGAAATTCACTTAAGCGAGTGGAAGCCACTACAGGATGCCGCGTGTATATTAGAGGAGAAGGTTCAATGAAGGACCCGGACAAGGTAATGCAAGGGTTCTCACCGTACTGTGATGCATTTTTGTGGTGTTAATTATTACTTATGAAGACTCATTATGAAGTAGCTATATAGTTGATTGAAAACCTGTGAATGATGCACACAACGAAAGGGTCAAGAAAAAAGTAAAAGAGGGACATTTTGGAATTCTATTCGGTAAAGAAGGCTCCTTTGATTGTACTTGTATAGCCTGAAACCCAGGCAAGTCCACATTAGAGCCGTTATTGGTTATATTTTGATCTGATTTTCAAAAATATTCCTACTAGGTTTCCGTCCTTTGGAGTCTAGAAAACTTGTAATTCATAATCGAGTTTTTTAAAGCTTTTCCTTGTGATCCTGTGATAAAATCAAACCTTCAGCTCTATGTTGAAAGGATTATGGGACCGATTCTTAGATTTCTTGTTGACTTTTTGCTCTTTAACTTTTGGCAACTTCTTCGAATGGCTATGCTATGATATATGCTTTTGCAATGATTCCCAACAGCCAAACATTATAATTGTAACCCTCAAAGGAAGGAAAAAAGGGCAAGCTTGTATTCAAGGTTAACTTTATTCTCAATAATTTTAAGAGCTCGCTATATGAATTTTTTGCTGTAACTTTGTTTAACCCTACGTCATCACAAACTCAAGGCTTAAATTCTTTGTTCCTCGAAATTATTATTTATTGGTAATCTTAATATAGCTTCAAAATCAAGCTGAAGCACCTATTATGTAGACATAATTTGAGTTGGTACTGCATCGTTCATTTTAGAGATTCATATTAAAAGCGACTTATTTTTGTCTTCAATACTATCTGGATTTTAATTCTATTTGTGCCTGTCAATGTTAAGAAAGAGAAGCTCCGGGAACGACCAGGTTATGAGCATTTGAATGAACCGCTCCACATCTTGATTGAGGCTGATTTACCTGCTAATATTGTTGATATCAGACTGAGGCAAGCTCAAGAGATAATAGAAGAACTGCTCAAACCTGTGGTACTAATCTCAAACAAATCTTTATGTATTCTCTTCGAAAAATCAGTCAATTTTGTTTCTTTGACATTCTCACGACCCTCTTTTTTTTGTGCCAACTCCATGGTTTTGTCCCCAAAGAAAATTATAATGAAAATGAACTTCAAGGAAGCTCCATTGAGGTACTTGTATCATGCCACAATATTTTGTGTAAACTAGTATAAATACATGAACTTTCTTGTCTCATAGGAAAATAACTTGAGCCATTCACTTCCCAAGTAAAGATAGAGAGATGGTAATCTGTTAAACTGAACTACACAAGCTGATATGTTCACCGAATCATTCATGCTAAGACTTATCTGTTGGATGTTTGGAGCCTAATTTAATCTACACTTTTCCCTCGGCCACGGTTCTCACATGTATTAGGTCGGCCTAATATTTCCTGGTATTAAGGTGAGCCTCCAATCTGTGTATCAATAGTAGAGCGAGAACAGAGAGGTGAGAGTCCAAAACACATTATAATTCTCTTCTTCGATATAACTCAAAGCTCTCTCATTGAGGCTGAAGCATGTTAATATCACATTTTATTATTGGTTTTGTTTTCTTATTTCGTGTTATTAGTTGCTCTTGGTAATACGAAATATTCATTCCATCCATAACATTATCGATTGGTATCTTGAACTTTTCATGTTCTCGTTTTCATTTTTGTGCAGGATGAGTCGCAGGATTTTATTAAGAGACAACAATTGTGTGAACTAGCCATCCTAAATTCAAATTTCAGAGAAGAGAGTCCTGGACCAGGTGGCACCTTTCAATACCAGTGGAATGAAACGTGCAAAAACAGGACGTTAAGAGATCAAAATCTCTCTGCTGTCTGAAGAATTTCAAGAATCGTAATTGAGTATACCTTCCAAAAGACCTCATACCTAGCTAATTGAAAATCTAAGAAATAGGAATACAAGCCTATGAGGTTGAGCTATTTTGTTGGGTTTCTGTTGTCTTTCTTAATTAACTGAAAACAGAAGGGAGGGGTAAAAACACAAACAGTGTCTATAGGTGGTTTTAGATTAATTCTTGTCCATGTTGGTTATTTATACCCAATCATTGGATTTATTCTTGCGTGATTTAATTTAGTGTGAGACATGTTATTATTGGTCCTATGTAGCATTGGGGAACTGGCTTGATTTCGTAGGTATCTTTCTGTTGTGATATCTTCTTATCATTTAAAGAGCCCACTACAAATTGACATATTATGTTTGTAGTTGGCTGATTCTGTTAAAGTGTACATGGATTTATTGTCGTGGGATGTTTTATCTGATTATGCAGTGTAGCTGGCCTTCATCCAGTGTGAGTTCCTGTTAAGTGAAGGATTGTGATGCTTTGCTTAAGGTCCTATCCCTCTGCCCTGCTTGTTCATTCACGTTCCTGTCAGGCTCAGTTTGCAGCAGCATTACCTAATTTTGCATGCAGTTCATCTGCACCATTGTCATGGTAACTCTCTAACCATTCTATTGTGCCTTCAAGGATGAGCTTATTATGCACGAGACTGCACGAGTATGTCATTGAAGTGGTTGTGGTCTAACACAAATGGCATCAGTTTGGTGACATCCGAATTTTGGCAAGGTCGCCAGATGAATGAGTTGGTAGAATGATATTGGCCTTCTATACTTTGGGATGGTTGATTCTTCACCATACGATGCTCAAGTTAGCGAGAGCTTTCGTATAAATTGTAAACTAGACTTGGAGAATATTTGGTTGAAGTTTATGGCTTGCGGTTTATAACACCTACTACAACTTTTTGTACAACTGGATTCATTTGCCGAGGCCTTGAAGATTCTCTGTAGTTGACATACTTAACATAGGCAGATAGAACAAAAATA